AAAAGAACACAAAGGTGTTTACTGAGTGTCTGGGAAGACAAATCTGAGTTCAGCTGCTGCTGGCCAGGACCTGGAAGTATCTGTCAGGGTCAGGAGTGGGGTGACACTTTGAAACACGTCCCAGAGGAGGATGTTGAAGGCTGCATTGTACAGTGATGTCGAGCATAACCCTTGTAGGCAGGGTGCTGTAAATGCTACTTCTCTGATCAGCATGAGTACGAACTATAGCAGAACTACAGCTAGCAGTAGGCACTCTGGAGGCTGCATGGAGCTGACACAAATTCAGCTCTGTGACAGTACAGGCTTTCATTTTTAATACTTGTATTTTGGTGAGGAATTGATGAAGAGCTCTTGCTACAGAAGCTGTGTGAATTCCAGCACTAATCTATGAGACTTGTGGCAGTGGTGGGAGCATGGGTCTAGTGCTAGCATATAACTCGCAGGCTGGTTGTCCTGAGGTTGTTGAGGCTCAGCTTGCACTTTCTCAGGCTGGGGCGCACAATGGAAGTGAGACAGCAAGGAGCAGATTCTTGCCTCCTAAATCTTCTTGCCTTTAGTTCCAGCCTCCCCCCTGCCCCCACTTTCTGCTTTGTTTCTCTCTCCTATTTGACTGCAATTTCTCACCAGTTGAACAAGGCAATGAGGTCACTGTTTGGAGATGAGGGTGCAGAAGTCAGCCTGTGTGTCAAGACAGAAACTGATCAGGAAAGTTTGTCAGGGGAGAGGAATGGTGGGATTGTACCCCAGTACAGGATTAGTAGTTGGTGTGCTGGGCGAGTTTAATAAAACACCTTAAACTTCCTTTTCTTCAGTACTGTTCCACAAAGCAACTGGATCAAAACTTGACTGTCATTGTTTTGCTGCCTGCTTTTGTTTGTATTTTCTAAGGAAAGAAGAAAATTAGGAAAAAGTCTTTTGCAGAAGTCACAGTTCAGCTATTTGTCCTGTCTTTCTTCCCCTCTTTCCCCCCTATTCCCAACATTTTGCACTTGCTGATGCAGTTTTATGGATTCCTGTCTTCCCTACCCAAGGAGCCAGAAAGTTTTATGAACCATTTTGCATCCAGCCCATGGAAAGTGAGTATGTGGTGTCAGTCTGGAGCACTGACACTGGAAGCAGGAGAGACTTTGCACAAGTGGGGGCTCCACCTGAGAACCTCCAACTTGAGTGCTGCTGGTTCCAGAGCAGATGGGGTGCCTGTGCATTCCCACAAATGGAATGTGGGCTGTGTGTGCACAGCCAGCCCCTCTGTGTGCTGGACGTGACAGGGTATGGTGTGAAACTTTTGGGGGGGTGGGAAAGAGAGGAAGGAGGATGGGAAGCGAGCACGTGTTCATCCCACATGCAGGATGTGTCAGAGGATGTTGTTCTGTGCTTCCTAGTGGCGTTTGACCAGAAGCATCTGAATCAGGCTGCTAGAGCATTCGTGCTCCTGGCAAGACAGCTGCAGGCAGATGTAGCTCAGGTTGATCCTGCCAGTTACAGGAGTCAGCTCTTTCCTAAGCCAAAGTTAATGAAAGCAACAATGCTTTGGTTTTGACATGAAATGTAGCAGGGGTTTGATCTGGCATCCCTTGAATGTTGCAAGAATGACAGAAATGTTTGCAACTGCTCTAAATTCCAGTCCACTGGCACAAAGACAGGATGAGTGATCCCTTGCAGGGATGCACAGGCTCTGAGCTCTCAAGTGACAGGTCCCCTCCTTGGGTCCAACAAAAGTTGGGGCTTGAAAGAGGGAGGGAGCCATCACTGTCCCACACCAAGCAAGAAACTTCAGAGACTGTACAAAATCGGCCTATTTTCTTGCAAAGTCTTGCAAACTTGCAAATGCAGCAAAACTTGGATAAATTGCAGGTGCTGGATAACACAAGTGCTGTGAAGTTGCAGCTACTCTGTGTTCCAGATCCTCGCTGGGACTGCCATGGAACTGAATAGTTGCTCTGACATATCCTGGCAATGACTGTGAAGTGAAAGGGCTTTGGCAGACAACGAGTCCCCGATTGCCCCAGTTTTCTCAGACTCAAATAGGTTATTGTCCTTCTTTCCTCCCTAGTACTAACAAGTTTCATCTATAAAATCCCTTCCCCCTCTGATGCAGGGGCACTGATTCTAGAGCTTGCAAGACCACCAGACAGGCAGCCCCCTGCAGAATCAGAATCAGTCTTTTACAAACAGTTGCTTATAAAGGAAAGAAGCAGTACAACTGGAGAGTAGGAGGACTAGGAACTGAGTGAGGTACCTTTGGGGAACACCCCTTGGCCCATGGTGATGGAAAGGGCTGATGTTTGCTGCAGGTTCTTAGAAGCAAGGAAGATATTAACATCATTTCTCTGGCACCATGTGTAGGAATTTGGAGCCCACCATGGTCAGGAGTCCTCCAGACAACAGAAGCACCTCTGATCTTGGCACTGAGTTATCCCATTCCCTCAGAAGTGAGTAGAATTACTTCTTCAATTCCTTCTCAAGCAGGAATTCCTGGGCATCATGCCAGCCACCAAAATAGCTGCTGCCAAGGAACACAAAGGCAGTAACCATCTTAAGCAGCCCCTGCTGTTCAAGCCCCATTTTTTGCTTCATCTTTCTGCAGGACTTTATTTGTCCATGACACAGGATTGCTAATTCCTCCAGTGCCAAGAGAGGCCAGTGAGATTTTTCACCTGAACAGCCTGCAGAAAGGAACCAGCAGGAGTTCCTGCCCTTTATCTTTTTAGTCTCGCTTCACAAGGCAGTGCTGTGGTCAGGAAAGGGCAACAGATGGACCACAAAGCAGTCCAGAGAGTGCAGCTCTCCAGAAGGAAGTTCTTTTACAGCTTGTAGCAGCAAAGCATGGCCTGAAGGAAAGGCAGTGCTTAGACAGTTTTATGGCCACCCTGCTTTCTCCATCCACCCATTCATTATCTCCCTGACTGCACAGGCAAGGTTGACTGCACAGACATAACCCTTGAGCCCAGGTGGCAATCCATACACGCAATCCTTTTTCTTTCACTCCCATTTGTGAGTGACAGACCCTGTGAGGACAGTGGGGAAATCACAGCATGCACACTTGCATCATATTTGCTGTTAATAGCCGTGTTGCTGCCTCTGCCTCCTGGAGCCTTCACTGAATATTTGATCAGGCAGGATGGAAGAGAGGGACAATATTGCTGCAGCTTTCTGAGATTTGGGAGCAGATCTTGCCCCTGAGTCATGGGACTCAAGTGTGGTAACCCATCGTTCCCTCATCTGCTTGTTTCTACAAGCATCTAACATGTTTATGTCCACTCAGGTATCAGCATAAAAAAGAGGCATTCCCAGCTTGATGCAAAAGCTGTGCAATTTCTATTTTTTTTTTAAAAAATATGGATTAGAATAAGCTACAGGAGTCTTTTATCACTGTTTATGCTGCCAGGCCAGAGCAGAACTGAGCAGCAGGCTCTATTTGCTGGTGAGCCAAGGATGACCGTGACAATTGCAGGAATGTGGTAGAGCCTGAGAGAGAGAGAGAGTGGAAGATCTGCAGGAATCTGCTGACAGAAGGACCCTTCCAATTCCTGCCCAGGTAGTGACTGGTCTGCTTTCTAGGCAACAGGTAAGAGGAAATAATCCTGTCCTGCCACTTTGCTGGTGAGCCCGGAGATTAAAGGTTGCTTAGGCGATTAACACACATGCAAATTTAGAGCACTTCACTTTACGTAACTCTACAAGGAGTGCCAGGACTGACTCAACACCCATGGGATGTGATGTCCTGGCTTTGGCTGGGGTGAGGTTCATTTCCACCAGAGGATGGGAGGGAGCATGACTAGGATAGACAACCAAACCAGCCTATGGGCTATTTGATACCATACTGATGTCATAAGGGCAGGGAGCACAAGTTGGTGTGATATTCATCTCTTGCTTTATGGTTTCACTAATATTATTACTGTTGTTTCTTTCCCACTCGTGTTGTTCTATTAAACTCTCCTTATCTCAACCCCCAGGGTTTTGTCTTTTTCCTCCTTATTCTTCTTTCCATCCTACCATGGAGTTGGGGTGGGAGCACTCCTGGCTGGGTCTAAATCACAGCATGCAACATTCCTGAGTCTTATCTGACATGTAATTGGAGTAGCAGCAAATACGTGCCAAAAAACAGAGGGACACAGCTGGCATTAACAGTATACTTGGTAATGCAAGTGAGTTGGGTAAAGCTGAGTCTAAAGTGTTTAGAATTAACAAAACACTTCATTTTTTATTTTCTTACTCACTTTGCATGTTCTTTGTTGAAACACTGTAGCTAGAACTCAGCCTCTCTCTTGCTCTCCTTACCCCTCAGCATTTCTGAGATCTGTACAAGAAGAGCCTGACAGGCTTTGCAGGGCAAGAGTTTCAAAAAGGATCACAAAAGGGCTTAAACCCAACAAAATGGTACTGATCCTGTGTTAACTGAATGGTGTGCTTACAACCCTGTACAAACGAGAAAGGGAGTGAGCATTTTGTACTCCCTGGCTGGTGTGGCTCTTTTTTAGACTTTCTGCTTTTTAACTATGAGGAGCTTACTTTCATCTGCAAAACCAGTCAAAGCAGCAGCTCTGTTCACCACTGCCTCTCTTTGTAGAGATACCAAAGACACGACTGGAGTTGCTTTAGCCTGGTGTGTAGCTTCCATTTTGTCCTCATTGAAAGCACTGCCATATTATGGGGTAGTCCAGACGAGAGAAGACAACTGCTGCATGAAAGAAGTTTTATTTTTAGTTAAAAAAAGTGGCAGATGGTTCCCTCAGCGCAGACGGTAGGCTGAAGATCTGGTTATGGGAGTTGTTTTGGTGGGGGTTTCTTCCTCTCTTAATTCTGCTGATAGCTCTAAAGAGAGTAAAATGTGTCAGTAACCAGCACTCCACTGCCTAGAACCGAGGAGGCTACAGAAAACCGAGGCAGTGCGCTGAAGCCCCACACACCTGCCTGTTACCAAAGGAACATCCCCCTTGGGGCAAATCTATAGTCCTTCTCCACTTTTCCCTTTTGAGCATACATGTACAGTGCCTTACCATCCTCAGAGCTATTCTCCTCATCACTGGAGAAGGTGATGACAGCTTTTTTGGGTGGACGCCTCTTCTGGGTGCGCTTATGACCTCGGAGGGTGCGAGGCTGGGGCGTGACAAAATCTTCATCCCTGTTGGCTGTGCTCAGGGGCTGGCGAGGTGAACCTGCTGAAACAGAACAAAAACCAAACAAATGAACAAAGCCAGCCAAACCAAACAAAAACAAGGAAAAGCCCCTGGGTGTCTCTGCTGGGCTGTGGGATCAGGGGGAAGGCTGCAGTCCCACAAAAGGAACCTACTTCCTGTTGGTTTCTGTTTGGCTGGCTCTGGCACTGGAGTTCCACCACCCTCCTGGCATGTCTCTCCTGAATCCAGCCCTCGGTTACGGGAGGCCAACAGCTTCTGCTCCAGCTCTTCAGCCAGAGCCTGATGGAGATATAACACAGTGGGGAAAAGAGGAGAAAACAAACAAACAAACAAAAACACAGAAGGTGGGGGGAGAGAATTAATAAATCCATAATTGAATCCAGAGTTGTCATCAATTGCCACCAAAACAACTATGATAAACTGTTAGGGTTGAGAAGTAGCCTGCTTAAAAAGGAGAACTGCAGGGCTTTCCAGTCCCTGTGTGTAAGATGCAATCATCTTCCCAGCCTGCACACTTGCCCCATATCCTTACTTTAGCCTCAGGTTTGCAGCCTCCTCTGCGGAATCGAACCAGCACAGTTTGGAAACAACTGTAGACTTCTGGGTTTTGAAGCTTGTCTGAAAAGCAGTCAAAGTTGTCCTGCAGCTTGTGAAGGCCCCGCTCTGAGAGGGGAAGCAGAGTAAGGCAGTAGGACAGGTCCAAATACTGACGCTCAGTTCTGGGAAAGACAAAGACTGCCTTTAGCTCTCATGCAAAGAGGTGTGTAAGGATGAGCACAGTGTACCTAGAACTACAGCACAGGAGGATAAAGTATTTCCTGCAGGTGCTTCTGCTCGGCAGAACATCAGATTCAGGTTGTTGTTACAGGCCAGTTACAGAGTGCCCTGCCATACTATACACAACCACCACTGTATTCAGTCAGACACTGACATGAAGGCTTCACTCTTAAAGAACACAGTCACGTGTTTGAAGAGTGTCACAAGTTATTGCTAGCTATGAGGAAAAAAAAAACCCCATACAATCATTGAGGTGAGGACTCCTCTTGAAGGACATTATTTCAACCAAATAATAGAAAGACCCTGGCTGCTCATTTTTGCATGTTTGAGATGGTCTCATGTGGAAGCTGCATTTGATGTTCTGTTTCCCAGCCAGTTAAATAAAGAAGAACACTTTTGTTAAGCTATAAAGTGAACAAGTAACTGCTGTATCCAAGCAGGACGACATTCAAACCCAGCAAAAGCTACTGGAAAAAAAAAAAAAGAGGCAAAAAAAGAAAAAGCAGCAAACTAACATCCAGGCTCCCCGTGATGGAATGTGAGGAAAAGCCAGGCCCAAGTCCCTGTTATTTATACAAAGCAGAGGGCCAGAAGTCTGTCCTGCATACGCTCTCTCTGAACACACTGTACAGACAGACAGATGGAGAACAAAGCTGCAGCATCCAGGTGTTTCCACTTTTAAAGTCTGAACAGTACCTGGCATGTTGCTACATTTAGAACTCCAGAAATGCCAAGGAGAGTGATGGTGGCTGCAAAATCTTTCCTGATAAGCTCCTGGTTTAGCCTGGAGTGAGAGTCTTGCTCTAGTATTACCCCTATCATGGGTTAAACTGATCATGTGGAGGGCAGGAACATCTCTCCTAGGAGGACAGGCTGAGAGAGTTGGGGTTGCTCAGCCTGGAGAAGAGGCAGCTCCAGGGAGACCTTATTGTGGCCTTCCAGAATCCGAAGGAGGCACACAAAGAAAGCTGGAGAGGGGCTTTTACAAGGGCCTGTAGTGTTGGGATGAGGTATTTGGTTCAAACTGGAAGAGGGTAGCTTTAAACTGGAAATTAGGATGAGGTTCTTCACTATGAGAGTGGTGAGACAATGGTACAGGTTGCCCAGGGAAGTTGTGGATGCTCCATCATTGGATGCGTTAAAGACCAGATGGGATGGGGTTTTGAGCAACCTGGTCTAGTGGGAGTTGTCCCTGCCCGTGGCAGGGGGGGTTGGAACAAGATGATCTTTAAGGACCCTTCTAACCCAAATTATTCTATGATTTTTTGTGGCACAAAAATATTTGCACATTTTAGTAACGACGAAACATGGCTCACATGCAGATGGCTCTTCACAAATGCAGCGTGAAGAGCTCACCAGTGTTCCTGGGAGGCAATTTTGGATACAGGCCACTCTCCTCTCCAGCTCAGGAAACAAAATCCAAATATTTCTGGGAAATATGTGACCCCCTGAGGCAGCTGAGCAGGTCACATGCCCAGGCACTGTGTACAAATGACCAAAATAAGGAGACACAGCTTAAACCTCAAGGGCAAAGCCACAAGGATGGAGAGGAAAACCACAGGAATGGAGGAGGGCAAGGTGCACCAAATCCAGTGGAAGGTTAAATGAAGATATCACTGAAAGTACATGACAGAGAGGCAGATAAGTTTATACTATCTTTCTTCTTGGAAAAAAAGGTGTGCATCTGGGTCAGTGAAATTACAGCTTGGTGAGCAGGGGAAAGGAAAACCAACAACAAAACCCCTAAACCCACTCCAAACCCAGGAAGCGAAAGGATATCCCAGATTCACAGCATGGGTCCTGTGCTACACGCTTGGCAATCAGCACCACAAGCAAGACACACACATCTTGCAGACAGAGCAGAGCAAATGCCTGAGTGTACAGTGGCACAAGCCCTTGAATTAAAAACTGGAGCCCCAGGCACAGAGTTTGTACTGAGCAGCATGTGTGCAGAAAAAGGACAGGCCTCTATCAGCTGGGTAGTCAAGATCATTTGCAGACAGGACTCCAGAGACAGCTTCTCAGCTGGACACACTGATTTCTTAACTGAGATGCAAGGGAATAGCCTGTGGAGAAGGACCACAAAGGTGCCTAATAACCCAAGGGATTAGTCTTGCTCAGCTGTAATGCAAATCTACATTGTCACAAAAATTTTTCCCTAAGAAAGGAGAGAAGGGACAGGGGCCAATCACAGTGTAATAAGACCAGGAGCCTTAACTGATACCCATGTATTTTTAGGAGAAAGATAGAAAAAAAAGCAAAGAAAGAGGGACTTAAGTTTATGTCAGTATTTGTGACTTGGGCATGTGAAGAATACGATGGGAACCTGTTACACATACACCTGTATGCAAGCTAGGTTCCTCTAACAGTTCCTAGGCAGCAGACTTGCTTGTCAGGGAAACCAGGCGTACAACCCACCTGGCAGTCCGGAATCGCTGACAGAGTTTCTCCACCAAGCTCTCTGTCTGTTTGTCTTTTGTAATGTATGAGAAGAGATGCCTGCAGAGAGAAAAAAAATGGCAAAGTGAGAGGCCAGAGAGAAAACTCCATTTCTGCCTACTCCAGGGGATGCTTGCAGCCATCCTATCCAGTGATCAGCTGGGTGGTCCTCCAGAAGGAGACAAGATTGCGCTGCGTGCTTCAGACTTGGTTCAGGAGAAGCTATAAGCACACATATATATTTTATTTTTCCCCCCATATCAGTAATCACAGTCCCTGTTGGGGAACAAGCTGCTATGACATGGCATATAAATAAAATTGCATGTTTGGCTCATAGCACCTGCCTAGGATGAAACCAAGGAATGCAGCTAAAGCAAAGATCCTTGTAGGTCTGGAGTGAGAAGGGCTGATGTGTGGGATGCTGCAAACGCTGCAGCGCCGACTTCTGATCTCCTCCTTCCATCCAATTTTAAAAGCATGCAACACCTCCAGACAATCTTCTCACTTCACAAGTTGTGCTGGCAGACTAGTATATCTGTCAAGCAGATATTGAGGGGAGTGGGGTGGCACACTATTTTTTTTCTGCTCCAAACCATTCCTGTGGCTTTATTTTCAATTTTGGATCAATGTTAAAGTCAGCATTACTTCGTACTAAAGTGGGAATAAAGCCTAACAACTTAAATGCTAACCTGATCCCACATTTTCCTTAGTTTCTTGAGGAAGAGAGAGACATGGACTTTTAACACAGTTAACTACTGCTACTGCATTTTGCATGATGTCCTCACAGAAATCACTTAACTTCTATTTATTCAGAAGGTCCTGCTGGCCTCCCTTTTTCTCATACCAACATTTCTGTAAACTTAAGCTCAGTCAGGTGGCCAGTAGCTTTGATACAACTGCTCTGAGCACATTCTTGTTTAGTCTTTGTTATGTCCAAAACCACCACACTTTTCTCAGTTATGGAAAAGAGACCATATCCCAATAGTCCTCCCTGTGCATTTGTTCCAGCATTAATCTTTTTTCTAACTGAAGTGACCCGAACCATGGCAGCAGGTCTCACCAGTACTACCAATGCTTCCCTATACATAAACCAGAAATAACTTGACTGCTAAAATGGGAAGTGGAATGCATCTCTAACTGTAGCCATAACTTTACAGAAGAGGTTAAATGATTTCTTAACATTCAGCTTTACACTTTGATCTGCTAGTTTTCATCTCAGTTGTTACTGTAACCCTTTCTTTCTCCACAACTTGATGCTCCCCCCACCACCTCTGTCTTTTTTACACCTCCCCATTCTCCATTTTGGCAAGTATCCCTGGAGCATAAGCCACTGCTCACTTCCTAGCCTGTGCTTTTGTCCACCATGGTTTCCGAGTTAAACCAGATCCTCTCCACAACGGAAGCATTTTGTATCATGCTATATGGGAAAATAGTTCAGTTTCAAGGACTGTTCCCTTTTTTTCCCCATTTAAAGGGTATGATGTGGTGTGCTAACTGAAGATCAGGTCTTTAGAAGTAATTAGCTTTAGACTAATGTTAAATCAATATTGCCTTTTCTCTTATTTGCCAGGCGCCTCCAGTTCTCTGCCTGTATTTTACTGGAAGTCAGAAAACTCCATCTATAGCTGTCTTAGCCACACCAGTGACACTTTAATGCAACTGAGACACTTATTACTCTCTAGGTCTGTGGTAACACCTCCAGTTTGACATTCATTAAAAATTGTACTGAAAATTCCAAAATTATGTCCCATTCTCTTTATACATGCCTTCTTGTTTCTCTGTGACAGCTTGCTTCCACTTCAGCCACTAACTTCCACTGCTACATGTGCTGTCAGTAGCTACATGCTGTATCTCCCATGTCCCATTACCCTCCTTCCTGAAAGCTGGAGCAAAGCATTCCTCTACTTTTGCAGCCATAAATTATTTTCAGTCTCAATTTCAGCCTCGTTTCTGTGCCTTGCAATTCCTATCTGCCCAAAATTCCACCCTTCTTCCTAAATGCACTGGATGCTCATGGACAGAAAGACTAGTTGTAAAAAAAAAAATGTGAGATTTTATTTTCTTTTCAGCAACAGCAATGCTTTTGTTTTCTTCAGCACTCCTCTCTGTAATCCACAGGGCTCTAGGCAACCCAGAAAAACCGTGATGTGGCTAAGTTTCATGTATGAGAGGAAAATTTATGTAACTTACCACTAAAGACATATTTTGTGCTTTCTATGAGCAACCAATCAATACCCTCAGATTGAAATATTCCAATAGGTCTCTGTATTATGAAGGAAGGTTTACTTGGGAAAAAAACCAAAACAAAACACCAACCCCAAATCTGTTACTTTAACTACAGCTTTACAAAAATGGCTCATAAAAATTCAGTAGACCCCCGAAATGACAAAAGTAGCAGTCTTTGAAATCTGTTGTGTCCTCCTAATGTTGTGCATCCACATTTCCCTGCGTAAACCCCACAGTTTTTGTTTTCAGAGGGAAAAGGCCACTTTGAATGAGTTAGTGGAAACTCTTTGGGGAGTCTCTCCACACCTCCAGCTTACGTGGTTTTAGAATCGAGTCCCTTCGGCATGACCCCCTTTCAGACACAGACTGAAGCAGTCAGATCTAGAACAGCTGACAAAGCATTTTGCTTATGCCACTGTAGTTTCTCTTCCCTGGGTCTGGCAAAGCCCCTTTGCATAAACACAGTCCTGGTCAAAGCAGGTTTGGTTAAGCCCAGAGTACCTCATAATCGTGTGGAAGGATTCCTGCTCTACGCCGCAGTTGGGATCCGAGAGACGGCTGATGATGTCTGGGAGCAGGTTGTAGATGGCATTGCCCTGTGCAGGATGCAAAGTTCTATATCAGGTACACTGTTGTGAAGGACAGCTTCAGTCAAGTCAAGTAAGCTGTCCACTTAATTACCTCTTTTCTCCCCACTCCAAATCTACTGAGAACATCACCCTTTTGAGATGAATTTATACAGCCAGCCAAAGCTATCCAGGGCTCAAGCTAAGGGGAGTAAAAAGCACAACTACTGCAACCCTTGTTTTGCAACAGCTCTGCTCTTTGGCAGACCTGGATGCAGTTTCTTTGCTTTCCAACCTTGTTACAACCCAACAACAAAATGCTCAAGGAACTGCCTCCCATCTTGCTCAATGCAGATTCCTTTTTCCACTGCTTTTACGTACTTGTGCCATGGACTCTGCAGAGGCAGGAAGTTAGTGCAGTCAGGTGGGCAGCTCTGCTCTGCTTTAACAGAGCAAGTGAAGACAGTAAAGCCCCAGTATCATTGCAGCTTCTCAGGCAGTACATCTCAGAACTCTGAAGGGCCTGCAGCAGCCTTCATGTTGGATGAACAAAGCACAGAGGGTAACACTGCTACTGTTTTTACCTGCTTGTGCTGTAACTACTTCAGCTGAAGTATCTCAATGTCTCTTAGAAAAGTTTCAGAGATGGTGCAATGCCTGAGCCATAAGGTCAGGGAACTCTGCTGTAAGGCCTAACAGCAAGCTGCAGAAAATGGTTCCCAGTGCTGTGCGAGGCATACGCCAGAAAGCAAAGGGACAAGGCACTGGTTTTGGAGTTTGCCTTCTGGTGTGGATGGAGTCAGCAATATCAGGCTTGAAACATAACTTACTTTGCTAAATTTCCTTTATCTACCCTCATTTAGGCAACAGAGAGACAAACAGCTGCTCTACACCCCAACACACTTCTCCAGGACTCCACTCTTGTATCACTGACCCAGCCTCCACCGGCCATTCACCACTCTTGTGAATAAGGTCCTTGGGCATCCACTTGCCTTGTTGGAGAGTTCACTGAAGAAGTTCTGAGCCACTCCCATGATTGCATCCTCTGGGTCTATAAGCAGAGTTGCCATCTCACTCACTTGGCCCTTCACCTTCACCATGTCTTTGAGGATGAGGTGAGTCATCACCAGTCCTGCTGTCTGCCTCACACTTGGGCAGGGGTCCCGCAACCTGAAAGCAACAGTTACCACAGAATGGAGCTAAGTGTCTCTCAGTTACTGATACCTGTGACAGCCTGTTCCACTGCCCAAGTCTGTTTCCCTGCAGTGACACCTTCACATTTGTTTTCCTGGATCATTCTCACCTTCTGGAGGCCCAGTGTGTCTCTCAATTACTGATACCCGTGACAGCCTGTTCCACTGCCCAGGTGTGTGGTTTCCCTGCAGTGACACCTTCACATTTGTTTTCCTGGATCATTCTCACCTTCTGGAGGCCCAGTGCCACCTTTCCACAGAGCTCTCGTCAACTGTCCTCCCCCAGCAATGAGTGTAGCATTACCTGGCATAGAGGTGTGATGTCCAAGGCTCCACCAGATTAGGGAAACGGATGGCCAGATCTCCTGCTGCAATAATGAGGTTGGATCTCACACCAGGCAGAGTGGACTTCTCCATCATAGTGAACAGCAGGCGCAAGTGGGAGTCACAGAACTCGGAGCTGGCGAGACAGGGTACAGAAAAGAAACCCTAGATACCAAAGTCCCATCTCAGAGAGCAGTGAGACAAAAAAATCAAATCTATGAATGCTGTTTTGTGTTTACTCTCTTCACAGGAAAGGAATTGCAATGTTTGCTTATTCTTTAGTCCTAGGAAGGCTGGGAAGAGAACAGTGGGATGGCTGGGCACTACCTGATCATGCAGAGTTTGCCAAGGGCTAGGGCTGCAGCAGCCGAGAGCGCCGAGTCACTGTAGAGCCCAGGGTTGTTGCAGATCCTGAGCACCAGTGGAACAAAGGCAGAGAACAGGTACTTCTCTAGAGTGACAAAGACAGCAAGCATGAGAACACAGTTTGTGCATTGCTTTTTAACAACTCCAATTATCCTATTCAAGCATTAGAAATTGCTTGACTCACTTTCACTGTTGAAAAAGTGCCTCCTGAGAGGCATAGCAGAGAAACAGACTGCCTAGACAGAAACTGACACAGGACAAAAAACAAGTCACAGTTTCCCTCTGAAGAAAACAGGCTTCTTCCCTCTGGTCCATTGCCCACTGTAGCTGTTCTCTCACAAGCAGGGGGAGCCAGTGCTCCTTGGTGGCAGCCACACTTACCATCCAGCAGCTCCATCTCACAGATACTGCGGATGAGCTCAGCCTCCGTGTCATCAGCTGAGGCTCCCACCAGGCCCAGCTCCTCCTCCATAGTGGTCTCATTTCCTGTGCTCTGTGCAGAAAGAAAGACTGTCAAACAGATGACAGGCAGCAATCACCCTTCCTTCACAAGTTACTCTTCTCTCATGCAAGAGGTGTATGCATGTTACTGGCAGCATGACTAGAGCTGGGAACATCAACCCACTTTTCCCTGAGAACTGAGTGAAGCTGTGAGGGGTAGAGGGGGAGCCCAGGATTTGCCAGTCCATGTGCCTCAGAGCAACAATGAAAATAAAGTCGAAGCTACTGAGGCTGCTAAGCTGAGACAGACATAGGACACATTTGGCATCAATGCCTGAGCCCAGCACCACTTAAGGAACATGTAAATCCTAAAAACAAGTTGAAAGCAGCCTTTGAGTTGCTGGTCTTGTGAGCAAGATTAGGGGAAACCTTATAGCAAGGCAAAAGCAACACAAGTGAAGAAAAGAGACATGGGCCTTGCACTGAGACCAAATCTCCATAGAACTGCTGCTTCTTGGAAAATCTCATTGTAATCTCCTCCCATAGTGGCACTGGAAAGCAGAGTGGATGAGGAAGTGAACTACAAACTTCTCTGGACATAGCAGTATAGGCATCTAGGAACATGGAAATCCTAAAAACAACAAGTTGAAAGCAGCCTTTGAATTGCTGGTCTTGTGAGCAAGATTAGGGGAAACCTTATAGCAAGGCAAAAGCAACACAAGTGAAGAGACATGGGCCTTGCACTGAGACCAAATCTCCATCAAACTGCTGCTTCTTGGAAAATCTCATTGTAATCTCCTCCCATAGTGGCACTGGAAAGCAGAGTGGATGAGGAAGTGAACTACAAACTTCTCTGGACATAGCAGTATAGGCATCTAATAAAGACTGGATACCTAGGGACATTTTCTCTATCCTAACCCAAGAAAGTCAGCCTCACTACACTCCAGTAAATGTTCTGAGGTACACCTAACCAAACAGGGTATTTCTATTATATGGATCCCATTGAGAAGGCTACTATTAAACTTCCATCATTACCACCTGAGAGAGGATAGGACCCTCAAACCCTAAGGACCAAGGTTCCAGAAGCCCTTTTCCAAAATGTAGTGCACAAACAGGTGTTCTTTACCACTGGCAACAGTTGTGAAAGATTGCACTGGTAAAAAGGGAGGTGATGAGTGGAAATGAAACATTTGCCTGAAGCAGGAACATAAGCATGGCCAGGACATCACCCTTTATTCCTTCTTCTCTGCTTCTTCAAAACCCCAGACCAGTGTGAAAGTGTTACTGAACAGGGTCATTCAAGGACCTTAGCTCTCCCTGTCAACCCTGACCAACATGCCCGTTTCTATTCCCAAAGCATACATTACCCTGGACCTCACGCATCCTCAGGAGTGCATTCTCCAGAAGCTTGCTGTAGCAGTAGCTGGGACACTGGGAGAGCTATACCATTAGGAAAAAAGAAACCACAGTTCTCACCCTGGGTCTCTGCTTCTTTTTCGTGCTGCTGGCAGAATGCTTCTTGTTCTCCTTCTCCTCTCTGAGGACGCGGCGTCTGCGAAGCTCTGTGCTCACCGATACTTCCAAGTATACGACCTGCTGCATTGCCACCTGTCCCACAAGGGACACCAGATGCATCAGCTAACACCATCAGAGACTCTGCTGGGAGAAACCCCTGGATCTAGTGTAGAAAAATTACCATAGTTCAGTGTTGATCTAGACCTTCCCCACTAATTACTGCCAAGTCTCACTGTATAACCCATCTCCATGCTCCACAGACTCCTTCACAGCACTCAAGCCCTTCCACACCAACACCTCCTCTCAGCAATGTTCTCCTCCTTTAGTTACTCTAGTCCACCCAATTGCAGCACCAGAAACCACTAGTACAGATTTCCTTCACCAGCTTGTTTCCTCACCGTCTTTGTGCCCATCAGCCTCCTGCAGCTTCTCCAGAGCCTGCTGACTGCACTCCTGCAGAACACGAGCACATATCTCCTCTGCCCCTTCTGCTAGCTTGTAGATGAGCATCACTGCTGACTCCATGAAGGGGATCCAGTGACTGTTTGGCTGGGCAAAGCCTGAGAAGAACAGGGAACAAGGTACCAGATGTACCATGGACAACACAGGCTATCTCACAGCCCAACTTCATCTCCTCCAAACCTACTGCTGACTTGAGCTCACCTTTAGTCAGAATCTCACTCAGGCAGCTGAAGAGCATGTGGTTTTGTGGCAGTCGAAAAGGTGCATTGTTCTTCCCCAGTGCTGGCTGCAGAGAGAGCAGATGAGTTACTCTTACCACAGAAGAGGTTGTCCAATGTCCTCATGTCCTTCCCAGCACACAACCTTACAGTGTGCTCAGTGCTAAACTAACCTATCACTACCATGCCAGGCCCATGCAGGGACAGCCAGTACTGCTCTGCAACGAAACACACAGCAGGGATGTCACTGTCACTTTTGAAGGCATGGTAACAACAGTGGATGGATTTCAAGCTTGGCAAAGTGATGATCCCAGGCCAACCCAGACAGTTCCACTACTTAATCTTAAATCAGACTAACTCTTTTGAAATCTCAGAATGACTTTTTAAGAAATATGGTATTATGTATGCATTCTTCACAGTGAATGAAGAGGGAAACCTTTAGAGCATCTCTAGAGTTATCAACAGCAAGTCAACTAGATGCCCTTGTCTAGGGGTACTCCAGAACCATAAGATTTTGTTTAAAAGCAAAACACGATCAGCAGAAATAACAGAGGCTAGCTCTGAATCCAATACCACCACACACTTAGGCTGTTGCACATACTCTGTATCAGTTCCACCACTTTTTAGGTTGGGAATATGATAACCCAGAGAACTACTAAAACCAGGTATGACAATGCTGAAGATATCCCAGTACGTCTGCATCTGCCCGATCAGGACATATGTGGCCAAAAAAAGCTACTGTATGAGGACTTACCAGCTTTCAGTAGCTAGAATCAATTTTTCTGAGTTCACCACAATCCTACTCTCTGTACTGAATTTCTAGTTGGTGAGGGGGAGTGGAAGGAAGAGCTACCACTGTCATTCAAACACCTACAGTTCAGTCCCATCTCTCTCACAAACTTAACTGCAGAGTTAAGACAACCTAAAATTGAACTACAACCATCTTCAGAACATTTAAGAATGTTGTGATGCACACTAATTCATGAAGGGCCTGCAGTAACATCTCCCATGGAGCTGGCAAACCCAGAATGTGAGTGCTGTGTGAAGGAGGGCTGCTTTTACGCTGGAACTTTTGAACCAAAACGCACTCAATGCTTGAGTCAAAAAACAAAGAGCTTTTTTAAAGAGTGCATTAATAATAATAAAAAAGTGTAAGCTGTTTCCCAGACAAAGAAGCCATCAACCATCATGTTGTTCTAAGTATAACATGGACAGGTTTGAAAGCCTTTCATGTTTTACATTCAGCCGTACAGCTGAAAACTCCCAAATATCAATTAATACAGAGGACAAAAGAATCACAACACCAGAAAATACCAGTAGAGGATAGGGCTTCATGGTTGAGGAAACACCAATCAGTTTAGAACTGGGAGTCTGAGGCAGAGAATTGAAAGGAAAACACATTTTCCTGTGCACTGAACTCTTTACTAATTGAATTCAGCCTGTTGTCTGATGTACACTATTTCATTACATGTTCACTTGATGTGAGCCAAGCTTTCCAGATGGTGCTGCTGGATGGTGTCAACCTACTTAATTTCAAAATTGTTACAAATTTAATCACTTCTCTCTCTTCTCAATACAAACTATCTTCCCCCACTTTTTTTTCTTTTTTTGACAACTCTGTTTCTGGGTGACCTTAAGACTCTTAGTTTCTTCTTACCTGAGGGTTACTGGCTAGTTTGGAGATGGCATTGCATACTTCTTGAGCCAGGCGATAGTCTTCACACACCTTCTCAGACAGCCCTACTGTCACCAAGGTGTCCAGGTTGCTACCTATGATCTCTGGCTTCCCACTATGGAATAGAAAGGATGGGGGTATTTACATGAATTGCTGCTGAAAGTTTATGGAACTATGGATAACCAAGAGAAACACTTCTTGTGACTTGTGGAAGGCAGTGGATTGAGTAAAAGAGGAGAAAATGAAATAAACCCATTCCGTGACTCAAGATGTAGGTGTAGAAGCAACAAGCAATATTCCACAGAAGCCAGTATAATCCACACTCCACTAAGAGATGACATTCACCAAAGTGAGGAACACTGGGTGTACTATCTCTTTCTTTACAAAGATTCTTGACTCTTCTTTCTTATCAGAGAGGAGCAAAACTTAAAAGGCAAACACAAAGAAAGATGTTGCCGAACAGAGAAGAGTCCAGCAGCTCACGACTGGTAGCATGTGCCACTTCCTTCCCTACTATGGGAAAAAAAACAAAAGATCCCACCAAAACCCAGGCCCACACTCCCCCTCTTTCTGCCTGTGAAAGGTAGAACTGTACATTCCTCAAGACCGGGTCTGATTTGAGGAATATAAAATGAACTGGGTGAAGAAGAAAACCTAATGCATTTAAAAGGAGAATCTAAAAAGTTTATAATGAGCATCTCTAGAACAACAGCAAAACCCCCTCCCTTAGCAGATCTATGAAGAAGGCAATGCTGTCTTTATTTCACACCCTGCCCCACTCCTGGACTCAATGCAGGATCCCATGGGATGCCCTGGAAACCTACAGTTGTCTTTAAATGCCATTATTTTAGAGAAGGATATTATTTTGAGATGTGTACAATTCTGCCACAGGCACATGGGATGAGCTGGTTAAAATATGTTGGAAGAAATATCTAATACTCAAATTACAGAACTGTCTGTAAGCATTAGAAATGGCTCCAACTCTAGAGCCAAGAACTTTAAGATCATCATTATGCAGGCCTGGTTTTGACTGAAGAAGGACTGAAGTAGGAAGAGCAAGAAGAAATCAGCAGGTAAGCTAAATGCCAAAGGGTTACTGGGCTAGGAAACTGAGGAAATTAAAACGTTATACTGCAATTACAGTCCCCAGGAAGGGAAGCAGATTCATTTCCCTCCAATGCTACAGGTTCTGGACATCTCTGCTCAGCAGCTTCTCACTGTTCTTATCCAAACAGAAAGCTGCAGAGCTGTGACTTAGTAAGCTCCAAGGACAGACATTCAGAATGAAAAATAATGTCATAATTCAGAGACTACGCTGGTGGGACCAGTCTATTACACTTAAACCCATAGTCCATTTAGCCTGAAGAAGAGGAGGCTGAGGGGGGACCTTATCACTCTCTACAACTACCTGAAAGGAGGCTGTAGAGAGGAAGGTGCTGGTCTCTTCTCACAAGTAACTAGTGATAGAATAAGAGGGAATGGCCTCGAGTCACCATCCCTACATGTGCTTAAAAGTTGTGTAGATGTGGTGCTTAGGGCTATGGCTTAGAGGAGGATTTGGAAGAGTAAGGTTAATGGTTGGACTCAATCTTAAAGGTCTTTTCCAACCAAAATGATTCTATGCACCTGTGGGCCAGCACAACTATGTTTAATTCCAGGCTTCATTACACCAACATGTGGTCACTATTTTTGAAACTGCAGAATGAAGGGTCAGCTGAGGCAGCACCCACCATTCCTGAATAAAATTCAACTCCCTGTACATCCTCCCACTCCCAGAAGTGGCCTGGGCCCTGGGCTCACCGTGCCATCATCCCTAGCAGCATCACGGCAGCACGTCGTTCCAGTGAGGAGCACTGAGCCTTCTCTGTGAATCGCTCCCAAAGCAGCTGGACCACAGCAGGCTTTATCTCATCCTTCTGCACAAACTCTGAGATCTGGAAAAGAAATGCAATAAAACAAGTAAGGAAAGGCAGAGGAGGATGGACTTCAAGCCAACAAAAGCCATTAACTCCAATGACTACCATTTTAATATAACTGACACCTAAGATCACAAATACAATCCAAACATAGGCAAGTACTCACTATTTCTTCTAAGCACTGTATTATTCCTAGTGATGCATCCACCATGATGAGGGAGAGAGAATGCACCAGACTCTGGGCCCTGGTCCTTTCAAAGGGGAAAAATAAAGTCATTTAAAAAATTAAAAAGGTGAAAAAGCAGCTTTCACAATTACGCTCCTATTGAGAGCTGAGGACATCTGTTAGACAACAGAGCTGATCCCTGGGGACAGGAAAGCTTCCCCCTCCACAAGCTGGAATTCTCCAAGTCACCTAGCTCAAGTGCCAGTGGCCACAAAATGGGCTCAGGAGCACCATGTGCACTGCTGCTCCTCCCAGTGCTCAAAACCTGACACGAGGCACTCACCAGCTACTTCCCCATGGTTTGCTCTCACCCACACATCAAAGCACTATTCCCTAGAGCATAAGAAACTGGAAATCTCTCTATGAACAAATAAAGCCAGAGTTCTAACTGCAGGAGAGTCATCTCCAGGCAATACTATCAAGAAGAAATAAGAAGCAGGGGATTCTTTTTATTGCCCTGATGGTAAAAATGAGGGTGAGGTGTAGTGCATCTCACCAGGGATCACACTTAGTGCATGTGTATCCAACAGGATTTACATCTGGGCAAGTGCTAAGGAAAAAAAAAAAATAACAAAAGTGCCACAGCAGAAAGGAGACAGCTCCTCTCTAGTGAGAAAGAAACAAGTATGATAACAGTACCCAGCTCCCACCTCCAAATCCTCAATGAGGACCAGCAACAAAGACACTGCTGACATCCTCTCATCTGCCATGCTTAGAGATTTGTTACAAAAACATTTAAGATCAGTCTGAATAAGACAAACAGAAATGTGTGTGAAAGCACCTAAATGATAACAACCACCCTGTATAGTCCAAGGGATAAAGAAACAGTTTATGTTGAAAAAAAAAAAAGGACACAACTGAGTAAGAAAACCAATAAACACTGAGGAATATGTTGTGTACATCAGAAGCAGAATGCTTACACCTCATGGAAGGCCACAACATGAATGACTTGCCAGCAAAAAAAAAATGGAGCTCTACTAACAGAAAGATACTTCCAGCTTTAGACCATGCTGTATGCATTTGCTCTTATTATCCCAACAGGATGGATGACTACAGTCATAAGAAACCCAAAATGGGGGAACAGACACTGGACAAAAAACTTTGCACACAGAGGGTGAAGTATGCAGAACTCCTGGACATGGGATTACTCCATAACAACAACTGACTCCCAAAAGGGTTGTAATAGCTGTCCAAAACAAAAAAAAAAATCAGTTCACTGTAGCCAATCAAGAACCCTGCCAACAAGGCAAATATTTAACTGATACATCTTGTTCCCTGTCACATACAAATCCTACCCTGATGATTTGGCCACACATATCTTGGTGCTTTGCATGAGTGAAATTTATGAGAACACTAAGTGTGAGTGCCTGGTAACAGTTAAATCTAAAATAATTTTCAAGCTTTGCCTTCCTAAGGTCTCACATGGATTTTTGCTGTGTGAATTTCATACACATGAGCACTATGACAAACCAAAAGCAGAAGTTCAGCAGTAGGTCCCACAGGAAGACTGGGACACTCAGATACATAACCTTGTGTTTCAGCTCAGCATGAAGCATGACGGCTTTGATTTCTCCTGTCCACACCCTATGTCCAACAGCTCCCCAGAGAAGATGGGGGGGGAGAGAAGAGGAGAGGAAAACAAAAGAAAAGAAAGATGTCCTTCTGATGAGGAAGATTCCTACCTCTCTGTATCCCCAGTGGGGCTCAGGTAGAGCCGCCTGTAGGCATTCAGCACGGCCTCCTTGATTCCAGCTTCTTTGGACCATATGAGAGGGAGCATCCGCCGAACTCCGAGCAGGGCCTGGGGCACACCAAACTGCAAGACTGTCACGAAGAACTCAATGGCTTCCTGCACCACTGCAGAGAGAAGAGCAGTTGTGTGAGTGCAGTTCTTTCCTAATCCCCACCAGAGAGACCATTAGAAGGGATTCAGAGCTGTACTGCTCTCACAGCAAGCCCTGTCAGCTTCCAAGACCACTGCTGCTGTCTGCAGAGTGCTCAAGTCAGAGTGGGGTCACTAGTACAAAGATGTAGATGTCCTGAAGGAAACAGGCACAGGTTAACAATATTAGATTTAGCTAGAATGCAATACATTTAGGAGAAGAGCACAGAGACCACACTTGAGAAAGAAGAAAGTTCCCTTCTGGCAAACAGTAGCTTTGGTAAAAAAGTCTCATGGATCCAGCAGAGAAAAGCAGGTGAATGCAAGTCCCAAGTGCTATGCTATAGCCAGAGGAACTAAGCTATTTGATGTATAAATAGGGTAAGGAATAATGCATTTGATTCCAGCTTGCCCACTCCTGAAATTCACTGCCCAACCTTCTGCTCACAAGAAAAAAACATTAAGTTGGAGAGTATTTACAAGAGAGCCATATTCATGATTAGAGGGACTGTACAATGGAGAGTTCATAGAGTCTGACCTCTGGTTAAGTGGGAGCTTACATCAGTATAATGCCCAGCTTACCAATCTGAATAAAGATGCCCTATCAGACAAGCTGTTATGCTTCCCCTGCCCCTAGTCCCACCAGAAGATACCTATTTGCAACAGAAAAAATAAAATTTGGTCTTAAATCTTTAATTAAAACCCACAAATCTGAGCACCATAAATCAAGTCATTTTGGTCACCTGGATTTTAAAAACATTTTCAACCTTGATTGTTAAAAATGGATTCCTAAAAAGCCTAACACAACCCTTTCATAACACCCATTTAGATGCTGCTTGCTTTTCTGATATCCTAGAGGTGCCTGTGGCATCTGCTCAGTGAAAAACAGCTCCTCCAACTTTTTCCCCTGGAGCTCCACTACTCCTATGTCCCCTTTCCAGCAAGGGGAAAGATCTGGAAACGCTGCGTGGGAGAAAAAGGGCCCCATGGCTATTTCACACACCTGAGACACAGTTTTCATACATCAACTTGCTGATCAGGCTCATGGCTTCTGTGATTTTTGCTGAGAAGTTGTAAGCATCTTGCAGGTATTGCACCAACATCTCCTGTTTGGCCAGCTCTGTTTGATGCTGCTCTTCTGGTACAATTTCTTCAGTCTCAGGACTATTGTTGCCATGTGGAAGATCCTCACTGTTCTCACCTGGCTGTGAACCTGCACAGCACAAACACTTGTTTGTGAGCAGTACTGAAGATACAAGATAAACAGGCATGGTTCAGGGCATTTTAATCCTCCTCTCTCCACCCCACAGTGACACCTTTCCAGACCCAGGGACAAAAACCCAAATTCTGCCATCAGACTTAGCTACAAAGATAAAACTTCAGCATAATGTAGAGCAAGTTCTAGTACTACCATGTGATCCACCACAGAAATGCCAGCCTAATACAGGGATGGAGAAAGGCATGGCCCATTTGGGGTAAACTCCATTAAAGTGCTGAAGGGTTTAATCTGAACTTGACAGCTACCCAAAGATGGATAAGGCCTGAAATGGAAGTCAAGACCAAGTGGGGAGAAGGCAAACACTACGACTCCTCAGAGAATTTTGTGCAAGTGTCTGGAGTTGAAAGTTAAGAAGATTTTTAGATGGTAGGCTTTTGATAGAAATGAGCTGAAGGGCATTGGCTAGGAAATCTTATTCTGAAACAAACACCAAAGAAAGCATGTGAAGTCTTAAAAGTATACACAAAGATTTAAGCCCCAGATAAGCAAAATTTGGGATGAACCAGATACTCAGTCAAGGCTGTTAAAGGTAAACATTACGTGCCACCACCTGTTCAGGAAGCTGAACTCCTCACACGTTCAGACAGGATAGAAGGGTGAGAATGGGTAACACTGGCTTCACTCCCCTCAGCAAGTATTACATGAGTTAAAGCATCAGAAATGCACTTCTACTGGGAACGTGTAACTGTTTCCAACAGCAATGAAGCAACAGGACTAATGTGATCCAGCCAAAATGCCAGGGCACGGGGAGAGGAAACGATCCAGAGACAGCACAGCTCTGTGTGCTGTCAAGTACACACAGACAGACCCACAGGTAAGGAGGAGGGAGAGGGCATTCCAGAGGGTTTTGGTCTAGCTCTGGCATCAGCTTGGACTTAGGGAAGAGATGGAGTGATCTGAAGTAGTTACCTGTGTGAAGTCTCTTCAAAATAGCCAGGATTGTTTCCTCATTTTCCTCTGTGGGGCCATTGAAGGGCTCCTTCCCCTGGAAGCAACACAGGGCCTTCTGCGTAAGGCGGGCTGCTCTCCTGGACAAGGACATTGCCCAAAAGAAGAACATCAGCAACCCATAAGGGCAGGACACAGGGGAAATAATCCAACTTTGCCCTCAACACCTGGGAAAGCAGCTCCTGCCAGCACCTTGTGCTGGGTGCCCATGTCAGTATCTTCTTACAGAGTAATGCTACTGGAATCATCCCTCTACCCTGGAGCTCAAATCTTTCTTGAGCAGAGAACAGGAGCTGACACATCCCTTGGGATAAACGCTCTCTCCAACTACAGAACCTTCTTACCTGTAATTCAGCTTCTTCAGCAGCCCAGTGATTTGCTCCAATGTACTGTCCACAGTTTCCCCAACTTCCAGCACCTCTTGTTCCTCTTCCTGCAGTGGTTGAAAGAGCTGCTGTACAGCAGCCCTAACTTCTGGCAGCATCGCTTCCCACTCTTCCTCTGGGGTGATCACTGCAGCTATTAAAAACAAACAAACAAAAACACAAACCACAAACAACAGAGGGAATGAAGAATACAAACTCAAATGACACCCTAAAAGGGGAGAGAAATTCTTCTGGAACTTAAGTCTACTCCCCCTTCCCAACAGGCAGGCACTATTCCTACTGCTGATCCACCCAGACTGCAGTAAGGACAAGAACTCTTTGGCATAAAAAAAAGAAACTACTGTGGGTTAAAAAAAAAAAGACAGGCACGAAAAAATCATCATTTGATATTTATTGTTTTGCAGGCAGCACCAGATCCCAAGCTAATCAAGTTTAAATTAACATCTGACTAAAACTGCAGCTCAAGCAGCCCTTGAATGGTTGAAAAATAAAAATCCGGGAGAGTGTTCATAGGTATTTTCAGTTCTTACCCTGAAAATATGCTAACTAGCTAAATGGACTGCAGATCTATATATGGACATTGATATGGTCCTTTTATAACACCACTGTATAAAAAAATGATGCAAGTCTAATCCTAGTTATCTGGCCTCACCATCTCACACAACTAAGTTCTGAGACAAAAGCCACAACAAGCTCTGAGCAAATTTAAGATGGGGAAGAATAAGCCCTGGTATGCCCTGGAAAGGGGAAAGAGGAAAAAGGGAAATTACCTGCTGTGGGTCTGCCACATTTCCTCATTTCTTGCAGCTTCTGCACCTCTTTCTTCAGTGGCTCAGACAAGTCAGTACAGCTTAGCTGAAAATGCCAGGGAGAGAAGAAGAAATATGTTACTTGTCCTCCCTTTTCTGAGATAACAGACTTCTCCTTTCTCTCCCACTCTGTGCAATCCCCTCAGACAGCCCTGGTTTTGGAAACTGCAATAGTAGACTCTGGCCATCATCCTAGAATGGAAACTGCTGTAAATTGCCAGGCTGAGGCTCAGAAGCTCAGGAGAAGGTACAGCTAAACTCAAAGATCTGCAGCTCTGTGCAGAATGTTCTAGGAGACTAATTCTGATCCTAAAGAAAGAAATCCCACAGCGAACCCAAATCAAACTGCTACAGGTTTTTCCCACCAAACATGTTCCTCCTGGCCTTCAGCATCCCTACCAATTACCCCAAGTGAAGGAAAAGACAGAGGAAGCAAGGTCCTAACCTGGGAGAAATAGAAGGCTCCCACCTGCAGAGTCAAAGGCTACACTGTCCCTCCCACAAGGGGCAAAAGCTGCTGCCCTTGACTCCAGCCTACTGCAGATACTCAGCCTGCAGACATCTAGCCTACCCATTGCCCTGGCTGAAGGTACCTTGCTGGAGAAGGGGTTGTTGGACAGGAATGCAGCCAGGAGCTGGATTGCATTTTTAACCACTACCACAGACTTGTCCTTGAGACGCCCAACAGCCAGCGACACCACAGCCTGGAACTGAGTCAAAGGCAGGGCCTAGCACACAATGAGAGCACAGGAAAAGTTACCAAGAAGGCCTAGAGACTCGAGAAAAGTTATTTTACTGCACACATCAACGTACTAAAAGGCAAGGATTATAGATTTATAGAAAAGTATAGGACTGAAGGGACCTCTGGGTATCTTCTGGTCCAACCTCTGTTGAAAGCAAGGACTCGGGTTAGGTTATCTAGGGTCCTGGTGAGTCAAGTCTTATATCTATATCTAGTGAGTGTGATGTTATCCCATACCAACGTCCAAAAAGAGCTTGCATACTTCCTTATAGTCTGTCCCAGTAATGAAGAGCAGCTTTTAGTTTCTGTTCCCCAGTTCCTTCGCCCCTAGGATCTTCATTCTCTTTGGGAAAAAGGAACTGCAGACACCCCAGTACACAGAGACAACACCTTTCTCTGCTAAACTTCAGTCTCTGCAAGCGAAGAGCAGGGTGACAGAAGTTCCCTCAGGAGACACAGCAGGGGAAGGGCTGACTGAGGCACTACCACCCCCCTAGCAGGCCTACCTTGCACTGCACGATTCGAACGAAAAGCTGCAGCACGCGGCTGCGCACAAAGCTGTTGATGTCACAGATGTGGGCCTGCAGCATGCCCAGGAACTGGTCTCGAGTGCCACGGGCAGCTTCATCCAGCTGATCCCCATTCAGCACCTGCATCAGCACTTCTGCCACGGCCACCAGGATGGCGTTCCGCATCACGTAACTCTGGAAAAGCAAGAGTGGTTGAACCAGGAATGGACAAAGACACGACTCCATGCACCAAGGGGAGGGATGGCCCAGAGTTTGGGCCAAGTCCCAGGTCTTAAGTGAATTTCTCCATTACGGACTTTGTATTAACCTTGGGTGACCATGGCTGTGCCTGTAAAACACAGTAATCCAAGCCTGCCATCCACAGAAGCCAAGAATTGATATGAGAAAGTTATGGTTTTTAAAGGCCATGTAAGAAAAGGTACCACGATGACAAACTCATTAAGGACTGAAGAACAATGGAAACCAGCTGGGACCTCAGACCAGTGAGCAGCCTGCTGTTCTCTGGTATCTGAGACAGGCATGTGTCATGGTTTTGGTTTCTGTTTCTTTTGTAATCAGAACCTTTTCCAAAGGGCAGGTTTTGGCTACTTGATCTCTGTGAAAGAGGTTGTTTTCAGACAGAAAAAAGAGACAGCAGCACCTCCACCAGCTGATGTCTCCAGACAGACAGTACAGCAGAAATGTACCTCCCCATCCAAGTGATGCAGGAGAACGCTCATGTTGGATAGCACCAGAGCAGGGATCCGCTCGGCCAGTGCAGTTATAAAGACAGCATAACCCTTGATTCTGGAAGCATCATGAGCTAGATCCTGTGGACATTTCTGTCCAATTTCCCTGCAGAGAAAGATGAAATGAGGAATAGGGTTCCTCAAGTTGATAAGAATAGAAGGACAAGACTTGGGGTGGTTGTCTCACCTCAGGACTTCACCCACCAGGCTTTTCAAACCATATTCTGTAGCCCAGAAGCTCACAGCCTGTGCAAACACTGGGGCTACATGTTCAAAGTGCTGCAGCATCTGTGTGATCTTCAGAGTGGCACCTTTCACATGTGAGAAGGAAGAAAGGGGTCAGGGAAGGTAACCAGGAATGGCTCCAAGAAGAAAGAAGCTCAGGAACTCACTGAACATGTGATCATAGTGAATCAGAGCTGCAGCAAGCAGATGTGTCACAGCCTCCCGTGTGGCCTGGTACTTCTGAAGGCCAATACTTGGATTCTCCATGATACGGTAGCAGCTTCCTGTCACTAAGCTAAAGCCACACAAGAGACACAGTGAACCTCACTGCAACAGTTTGCACCAGCATCACTCTAGCACACTGCACTAGCTAAACATTTGTCTCACATCAGAGAGATTCACCAGTACCCTTAAAAAACTAAGCAAACATTTGAACTTTAAAGCCCTACATGAAGAAAGAAAATGGTTCCTAAATACAATGTTCTTGCCTCAAGACGGTTTCCTCCGTTTCCCAGCAACCTGCACCCCACAGAGGGCTGTAATACCACCCCACTGGCAGATTAAATATTTAACCCTCTCTTCCAGAAAACCAGTCACTCATCCCATCACTCCTCCCACCTCCCATACCTGACAAAGTCTTCTTCCACCGTGGAGCCACCCCAAAGCTGCCGGAGGTCCAGCTGCAGCAGCTTTGTGAGCAGATGTACAATCGGCTCCCTCTCCTCTTCCCACAAGGATCCAGAGGTCTTGGTACGGCTCTTCTTGTTCTAGAAAAAGAGATTCACAATGCAATTCACCAGCAGCTTGACAACAGAAGAAACACCATTGCCACCTTCCTTTCCTCAAAAAGGAGAACGACTGTTAAGTTCTACAGCATTAGGACACAGGGTGAGAGGTATGAGAAGCTTACAGGCTCACATCGAGCGGCCGCTGCAGTCATCTCTGCCTACAGAAAGGAACTCTTGAGGAAATCCTGGCATGCTAAGTATAAGCCAGACATTGAAGAGCAAAACAGAGAAGCCTTGGCACCCAGGTCCCTGCTGGTGTTTAGACACATTGTCCCTTGTCCTGGTTTCAGCTGGGACAGAGCTGATTTTCCTTCTTAGTAGCTAAATTAGTGCCGTATTTTGGATTCAGTATGAGAAGAATGTTGATACTGCACTGGTGGTTTTAGTTGTTGCTAGAAAACCAAGGACTTTCCAATTTCCCATGTTTCACTGGTATGTAGGTGCACAAGAAGCTGAGGGGGGAGCACAGCCAGGACAGCTGAGCCAGGACAGCCAGTGAACCAGCCCAAGGGATATTCCAGACACAGAATGTCATGCTCAGTACATAAACTGAGGGGAGTTGGCTGGGGGTGTGTGGATCACTGCCTGGGCATCAGCCAGCAACCACTGTGCACCATTTGTCTTTTCTTAGGTATTATTTCTCCCTTTTCTTCTTTTGTTTTGCTTTTAACTATTATTGCTACTACTATTTTATTTTATTGTTTTATTTTAGTTATTACACTGTTCTTATCTTGACCAATGAGCTTTATGGGGTTTTTTTAGTCCTCTCCACCCCACTGGGAGGAGGACAGAGGGATTGAGTGAACAACTATGTGGTGTTTAGCTGCTAGCTGGGATTAAACCACAGCATCCCTTTGCCTGTTTTCATGTACAGTTTCACAAAAATACCACTACTCTACATTATGCGCTGCTCTTGCTGGCACCACGTTTAACTATTGGTTTAGCTGTAGCATCTGACATGGAGTTCAGCAAGCCTACACACTTCTTACTTTTATCACCTCGTTTGTCCTCCAACCCCCACGCCTACCTTCCCACCAGGATCTACCTCCAACAAACCACCCTTGCAGGTTTCCGTTTCGAAGGCGTCCACCAGCCCGGCCAGCAAGTAGCAGTTCATCTTGAGAGCGTTAAGGTGAGCAAGCCGGTCCGCATGGCTCAGCCCAGAGTCACCCAGGATGGCTGGAAGTTCACTGGAATGATGCGACACCACTAAAGAGAATCAGAAAACCATGAGCACTCCTTGCCAGGACCCTCAGCCATCCTCTCTTTTGGAGACTTGGAGCAGTCATCAGATTACCAAAGACATGTGCTCACGTCTCGCCAGCTGTAACACGGGCTGCCCCCTGCAACCCAAACCTTGGAGGCGCTGTCCCATCCTATCCCCACAGCCCTGGGGCAGCTCATGGAATCGCTCACTCAGAGCTGGCACATCCCAAAGATGTATTTTCCAGGGGCACAGGGAAGCATATTTTCTGTCGGTCTGCCCTTACAGCGAACATGCACAGCTCAGCATTGTCCACCAAGATTACAGACCCGTATTACTGGAATGGGCTGAGGGTGCAGCCCAGCTGGTCGAGTCACATTAGCCTTTATATCATCATTGATCTGCCAAAAGAGAGCAACATCTCTATTACTGCTGCTTCAGCTGGCAACAGCAGACACCCACCTCGCATCATCAGCTCCAGGGCATCCTCCTTGGCAGCGGTGCCCACAGCTCGGAAGTGGCTGCAGGGCAAGCACAGCGTGTGAGGGCCGCGAGTAAACACGGCCAGGGAGACGCAGAAGCGCCCAGGTGCCCCAGCTCCCCCACGACCCTCCTCCGCCCACCCCACGCTCGTTCCGTTGTACTCACTGCAGCAAGCTGTAGAGGGGGTCGAAGTGCTGCAGCACCGCCAGCGCGCCCCGCGCCCGGAAGGCGGTCCGGAAGGCTGC